GGAGGGGAGAGGGCTGGGGACGAGCCGCTCAGATGTTCGGCTACCCTGACTCCCGGGGCCCTGCGCGCTCTGGAGCCGGTGCAGACGCGGCCTCCCGAGCCCTGGGCTTAAAACCCCCGCCGCAGGCTCGGCCCAGCAAGCGAGCCGAAGTTCGAGCGGTTTCCCGCTTTCGTGCCCAAGTGGCTCGCAACCTAGGCTCAGAGCGCTCCCTGGAGGGCGGTTTGCGACATAGTCATCTCTGGCCAATTTTTATTTGAAATAAAGGGCTTCCCGCCTTTTTTTTTTTTTTTAAATAAGACTATTTTGCATGCAGAGGTTCTTGGGGGACCGTTTGTTGCCTCGTGCGTGGTGCTCGTTCGCGGTCCGCCGACCCGGCTTGTCGTGGGTTAGCGCGACTGTAAACTGGATGCTTTGCACCGCGTGTGAGAAAGTCGTTCCCGTAGGCGTCCTGGAGAGTCCTAGTCAGTGAGAGTTTTGAGCTGATTACCGTTTTTAAGATTTTGCTTGAGGAAGTAAAGATTCGGAAGCAGACAAAGTTGATGACGTACGGATGTGTCTGTATTATACAGTTTGAAGCCCCAGATCAGTGGCATCTCCTGGGGTCCCCCAAATGTTTGCTATTTGGGTTTTGTTGTTGTTCTTTGGGTACGTTTTAAAGAGTTTTGTTGTTGTTTATATTTAGAATTCAAGCATAAAAAGTCATTTGTTGTTCTTTGGGTACGTTTTAAAGAGTTTTGTTGTTGTTTATATTTAGAATTCAAGCATAAAAAGTCATTAAGACTTGATTGGCGTAACTTAAAATCTTTAAGAGACCCAATGACCGTTTTGATTGGATTGTTGCTGCTGTTTACTGGTGTAACCGAAAATGCGGCTTGCTTCTCTAGTGCAGAGTATTGAACCCACAGCCTTTTTTCTCCGCTTAGCATTTACTGCCGCGGCGCTACACCTCAAGTCAGTTTATTCTTTGAAAGTTTTATACAGTGTTTTCTTGTTGAATGTTAGTTTTTTCCTTTAAATGGTTTTTTTCCCCCTGATTGCTCAAATGAGAGAAAGATACGTCATAGACACGTGTGGATTTAGATGAGAAAACTTTCCTGCAATTCATTCCCCCGGTGTCTTCAGTCTCGCGCATAGTGGTGTCTAGTAAGCACTAGCCCGATAAATGGAAGGATCGGGAGCCTGTAATCCCAGCGCTCTGGAGATGGAGGCGGCGGATCAGGAGTTCGTGGCGATCCTCAGCTGCTTGAGCTCTTGTTTAAAACCGATAAATAAAAACATATTGACCAGACCAAGCCTATTATTGTATTCGGCGCCTCCCTATTTGTGACTTTTGGGGGGCAAGCATGCATTTTATTGCATTTTTTTTAATTAAGCAAAATACTGGATTTCATTCGAAATTTTTACTTACATGTGTATCAAATTCTTTCCGAATTTTCTCCCAATTGACTACCCGCCCCATTCTGCCCTCCCATTGGTCCTTTTTGTCCCCTTCTACTTTACAGGTTACACTTTAAAAAAAAAAAATCTAGGTTCTGCATGTGAAGGAATATGCGATATTTGTGTTTGGAAGGGGAGTTTAGTTGAGATAGGGTCTCATGACCCTGACTGGTCTTTAATTCGCTGTGCTCAAGGATGACCTTGCCTCTGACTCCTAGGTCCTGGGATTAATGGGTGTGCATCACCAATCCCAGTAGGAGAAAAAGATGATAAATCTGCAGTTGTTCAGAACAAGCCTGGTGGTTCACGATTCTAACCTGGGAACCCAGGAAGCCAAGACAGGACTCATGTCCAAGAAGCATTCTGTTAGTTCTCCTGTCTGGGTTCCTCGTGGGTGTTGATTTCTTTTCTGTTCTGACCATAGTCATTCCAGCCCAACCCATCTTTAAATAACGACCCTGCCTTTTTTTTTTTTTTTTTTTTTTAGGTTGGGTTGTACCTTAAGCGCAGAGGGATGGTTTAGAATCTTCTAGGCACTGTGTTGACCCCTCATCATTTGTGGGGAGGCAGAGTGTACCTCCTGTGTTCCTGGATCTCTAAGCTAGCTCTGTGGCAGGGGTTCTTTCTGTGGGCCTCAGAATGATTGATAGGTTTGTATTCTCCACCTGCAGTATTTACATTTTTAAAATGTAGAACCTTTGATTGGACTCAGTGATATCAACTACTTGAAAAAAATAATATTGGCAATCAGTTGGTATTGTATTCTTTTAAACTACACAACTACAGTGAGTTTTGATTTTTAGATCTTAAATTGCCACTTTTATGATTACTTGTAGAAAGTTATCCTTAGAGTTTTTTCTGTCTTGGTCTCCTAGATTGCAGGCACTACCATGCCCAGCCTTCATAAATATTTTTAGTTAAAGGATAAATTGTTTCAAAGCACCATCATAATGTTTTACAGTGGGTGCATGTGATGGGGGGGACTGTGTGTGTATTTTGTCTTGTTTTCTATTTTTAGGCTTTTAGCTCTCTCTCTCTGTCTTGATAACAGTGTTTTTAGGTGTTAGCAATTATCTGGATGGTGAGCACAAGACTAAACATTTATGGAGTTGCAATCTGCCTTTTTGTTTGCGCATACAGAGGGGAGCAAGTTGAGCTGTTAAGGAATCCAGTAGTGACATTCCTGAGTGAACCTCTTCAGGGGAGTTTGTTCTGTGCTGGGCCGGTGTTGAATCTAGAATTTCATGCATGCTTATTTATTGGATTTATTTGCTTGTTATAGTCCAGGCTGGCATCAAATTATGCTTCTCTTCTTAGGCTCATTCTGCTGGGAGTTCAGGTATGCCCACCATGCCTGGGCTGATGGTGAAACATGTGTTTGTTTGGTCTTTTCCTCTTTGTTTTGGGTTGTTTTGAGGCAGGATTCCTGTAGCTCAGACTAGGCCTGAACTCTTGTATAGTGTAGGAGGGTGGCCTTGAACTCCCGATGCTCTGCCACCACCTGTCCTTTTCATATAAAATATAAAAATCTAATAGTCATTTAATTAGGTTGAAAATTGATGAATTAGGTTTTGTAAGTGTGTGCCTTGTGTTCAGTAACTTACTGCTACAGTTAATTTCTGATTTTCCTTTTCTTTGATGTCAGGGCAATGCAGTGCAAAGTTACTGTAGTAATAGTTACCAGGAAAGGGTGTGTGCGAAGGGATTATATAGCATGTATGTAAATGTTGCTAGAGAACACACTGAACATTTAATAAATTAGTCTTGGACCTCAGTTTCCTTACTTAGTAATTAATATGAAGTTATTCATGTGTTTGTCTCACAGGAGTGTTAGGATTCTTTTTTGTTTGTTTTGAGACAGGGTTTTTAGGTGTAGCCCTGGCTGTCCTGGAACTCTATGTAGACCAGGCTGGCCTTCAAATCGGGCAATGTTAATGCACACCTTTAATCCCAGCAGAGGCATGGAGATCTCTTGAGTTCGAGGCCAGTCTGGTCTATGGTTAGTTCCAGGATGGCCAGAGCTACACAGAGAAACACTGCCTCCATAAAACCAAAATCAAACAAAAAGGTCTGCCTGCTTCTGTTGGAATTAAAAGTGTGTGCCACCCTGCCTTGCCTGGCTTACCTTTTAGAGTTCTTTAAGTTGGTACAAGTATAATGCACTTAAAATGCAACTGGATACATAACAAACACATGTTCAGTGGAATATCTTATAATAGTACCTGGATATGGTGGTTCATGCCTCTAGTCCTAGAACTCAGGAGACAGAGGCAGGAGGATTGCTGGGTGTTCAAGATCACCCTGGATTCCAGCACTTGGGAACTCTGACTGTTCTTCCAGAGGACCCAGGCTTGCTTCTCAGCTCTGACATGGTTGCTCAAACCTGTAACTCCTTGCTCCGGGGATCTGGTGCCCTCTTGTGGCCGCACATGGTATGCACAGTAATGCTGGCAAAGCATTTTTTTTTTAATATTTATTTATTTATTGTGTATACAATATTCTGTCTGCCGGCCAGAAGAGGGCACCAGACCTCATTACAGATGGTTGTTACGTGGTTGCCGGGAATTGAACTCAGGACCTTTGGAAGAGTAGGCAATGCTCTTAACCACTGAGCCATCTCTCCAGCCCCCAGCATTTTTTTTTTTTTAAAAAAGATCGATTTATATATACTTAAAGCTAAGGAGAATTCCACACAGTGATACTTTCTTGGTTGAAACTGCTGCTTTGTTAATTATATATGCCAAATTACCCGCCTCCCAATTTTTGTTCTTATTAAATGTATTTTGTTAGGTGGCATTCATTTTTCCTGGATCCCCTACTTTTTGGTTCACTTCATGAGAACATATTGCCCACTCCAATCTTTTCTCTTTCACTTGAAGTTTTCTCATTATGGAAGTGTGAATTGGTTTCCTGCTTCTAAAAAACCTTAGGTTATTTATGTTCTTTTTTATTTTCTTGTCGCTCTCTGGGGGCAGACTGAAACCTTGAGCATGCCAGGCAAACATTCCCCTGTGGAGCTGACTTCACAGCCCATCGTTTCCAATAGGGCTCGGGTATTAAAGGCTAGGCTCACAACCCAAAACATAAGAAATGGATTGGTTTTTCTCATCAAATTACACTTTGAATTATTTGATTTATGAATTAGGCTCTATTTCTTTCCCCTTTTGAAGATTTATTTATTTATATAATGTATATGTAGTGCTCTATCTGCATGCATACCTACAAGCCAGAAGAGAAGAGGTCATTAGATCCCACTAGATATAGATGGCAATGAGCCGTCCTGCAGATGCTGGGAATTGAACTCAGGACCTCTGGAAGAGCAGCTGGTTAACTTAACTGCTGAGCCTTCTCTCCAGCCCCTGGGCTCTGTGTATGGTGATATGCCTGCATGTATGTCTGTGTGTCACTTGTCCAGTGCCCTAGGAAACTATTCAAATCCCTTGACACTATGGAGTTAGGGATTGATGTGAGCTAACAATTGGGTGCTGGGAATTGAAGAACAGCCAGTGCTCTTAACTTCTGAGTCATTCTCTGGTCCCCTTTGCCTCATTTTTGATGCTTGGGATAAAAATGAGGTGCTATAATTACATTCTTTCTCATGTTGTCTTATACACTGTATCCAGATTACTTAAACTATACATTAAAAATGGTAGCCCAGTATGAAGAGTCAGATTGGGTCAGGCACTGTAGCATGACTGTAATTCCAAGCTCTCAAGAATATGTTGGCCAAAGTTCATTTGCTTTTATTTCTTTCTAGATACCTTTGAACACACAATTGCTGTCTCTTCGGTTAGGCAGGGCCTTGCCAGTGAGACATACCCTCATCCTGAACAGCATTTAAGTTACTTAAAGTTACTTGTGTATCCGGCTTGTTCAGTCTAACTACAGTTGAATTTAGAAAAGCCTTCAAATAATGGTTTTTAGTAACTAAATTTGCTAGGGCTAATGTAACTATAAGTTATTTGCTGACTGCAAAGAAAATGCCCTGTAAATGAGTGCTCTCCAGGTAGAGAAGATAATTCTACTTTGTTTACAGAAAGCCACAAAAAAAACTGATAAGCCCAGACTAGAAGATAAAGATGACCTAGATGTGACCGAGCTCTCTAATGAAGACCTTCTGGATCAACTTGTGAGATACGGGGTAAATCCTGGTCCCATTGTGGGTAAGTTGATCAAATCTCAAAAGTGTTTTCCAAGAAGCAAGACCCCAGACCATTTTTTTACTCTTATTAATGGTTAGGATTGGGTCTTTTGGGGTTTTTTTTTGTTTGGTTTTTGAGACATGGTTTCGCTGTAGCTTTGGAGCCTGTCCTGGAACTAGCTCTGTAGACAGGCTGGCCTGGCCGCCTGAGTGCTGGGATTAAAGGTGTGTGCCACCACCTGCCCAGCTGGAATTGGGTCTTCAGGGGCTATCAGTCTTTATTTATGTAACCAATCAACACTTAAGTTTCCTTAATTCTAAATAAGGAAGATAAAAAATGAGAGTTTCCAGGAGATAAAATGTTAGTTTACCTATTGCTGCTGTCCTAGCCCGCGGCTGTTTCAGTTGTTTCGTGCCATTCTGTAAGCCTGATCTCATCTGGTCAGATGATCTCAGTGAGTTAGAGGTAGATGTGAGTAGAAGTGCAGATTATTCTGTTCCAGACAAGCTCCGTGTCTTAATTAAGATTAAAAGTATTTTTATTAATTCTGTCTTAATAGCCATAAAGGACAAATGGAGCAGAAGGCACGCAGCACTTAATGTTCTGGATTCTCCTTAGCTCTTCTAGATAGCAGCAGTTTTGCCAGGGTAATTGTGATTCTCTTATAGGGTTTAGGCCGTAACCTCCAGGTGAGAAAAATTCACATACAACTTTGGGTTTGTGTAAAAACTTGAACACTGGGTGGGGCTTGGTGTGTTTATTATAACTATGGCTGGAAATAATTGATTCGGTTTTGTCTTTTGTTTGTTTGAGCCTGGGTTTTACTGTGTAGCCGGCCTATTCTTGCTACCCAAGTGCTAGATTTAAAAGTATGTGCTTCATAGGCTACTCACAGATAGACAAACCTGTGGCTATAATTACCAATAGACATTTGATGTCTTTTGTAAAATTCTGAGAGACACTGAGATGTATATTACATGAAAATATGCTAAATTACATGTTAATGTGCCAATCGTTTGTCCTAAGGCTGCTTACATAGTTCCTATTGTGTGTTGTTTGTGAGCAGTGCACCGGTTGTCATCGTCTTCCAGAAATTACGGGAAGATGCATGCCAGATGTAAATAGAAAAATTAAAGACACTCAAATATGTCCTGCCTGGTTCCCACAGTCCCCAAAGAAATTACACAGAGGTCTACATTAGTTATAAACTGATAGGCCTAATAGCTCCGACTTCTTATTAGCTCTTCTAACTTATATTAGCCCATTATTCTTGTCTGTGTTAGCCATGTGACTTGATGCCTTATTCTGCAAGGGAGTTACATCTTGCTTCTCCCCAGAATTCTCGTTGCCCCACCTCTACTTCCTGCCTGGCTACTGGCCAATCAGCGTTTTATTAAATTCAGTTGACAGGGTATACACCATTGTTCCACAGCATTATAGTCTTGTATTACCTACCATCCCAGAGAAACAATATTTTGGAAGAGTACATTATGTAATATTTTTAATCACTTGCTTTAGAATCATGTTACTTAAAAGCTGGTTTCCCACAGGTGCTGGAAAGATGGTCCCAGTTTGAAGTCTGTACTGCTCTTGCTGGGACCTGAGTCTTGGCTAGAGTCCACATTAGGTGGCTCACAAAGGCCTGCAACTCCAGCTCCAGGAGCATCTGGCTCCTCTGGCCTCCAGGCATCTGCACTGTCTGATGCGAATCCATGCACACACATGCACATAACGTTTTGTTGTTATTTGTTTGTTTTTAATCTTGTAAAAAGATAATTTAGTGCCAGTACTAATGGAACTTTTGCCTCACCACAGGGACAACCAGGAAGCTGTATGAGAAAAAGCTGTTGAAACTGAGGGAACAGGGGGCAGAATCACGATCTTCTACTCCTCTACCAACAGTCTCTTCTTCAGCAGAAAATACAAGGCAGAACGGAAGTAACGACTCTGACAGATACAGCGACAATGAGGAAGGTAAATTTTAAATGCTGTTAGTCAAATGTGTGGGGGTTTTCCTGACTCAGTGTTGACCATAAAGAAGGTAAAGTTTAAAACAGTATTGACAAAATATATGGAGTTTTTTTTTTCTAAATAGCCATTTAGCTTTTGCTTCAAATAGAATTTTTGTAAAGGCAAAGTTCTCTTTCTCCATTATCACATCTCCAGAAGAAATCATTAATTTGATATTTGTCTTTCCAATTTTTATATTTGATTATCAGTTTGATAAATGCTGCTTTGTTTTTTAAAAATTCTATATAAATGATATGCTGAGTTTTATGTGCTATTTTGTTCAGTGTTATATTTTTTGGATCTTTACATGTTTATTTCTTATAATATAGTGCTAATATTTAAATATGACCTTTCCTTCTCTATTGATAGGCATACAAGTTATTTGAAAGATTTTGCTTATATAATTTGTTTTTGTGGTAATTTTGACCATGATTTTAAATATTTTTGAAAATAGAACAAGACATACATTCCTTTTTAAGCTAGAATAAATGCAGACTTTGATATTTAGAGTTTTAACTCATAATTTGCTAGTTTTGTAGTTATTTAATCTGACCATGCCTTCCAAGGCACTGTGTGACAAACTGGTTGCAAGAGTGTGAAGTCTAGGGTCCTTTTCTTCAGCGACACTATTTTAGCAAGGAGGCAAAGAGTAAGAGCCCAGACCAGTCACGCTTAAACTTCCTGCCTCTTTTGCCTCTACAGGAAAGAAGAAAGAACACAAGAAAGCGAAGTCCACTAGGGATTTTGTTCCTTTTTCTGAACTTGCATCCGCTCCCTCTGGTGGATTTTTTCAGGGTATTTCTTTTCCTGAAATCTCCACCCGTCCTCCTCTGGGCAGGACTGAACTGCAGGCAGCTAAGAAAGTGCACACTGCTAAGGGTGCTGACCCAGCCTTGCCGGGGCAGGGGCAGGTGCAGACATACATTCCTTCCGAATCTAGCTATGATAGGTGCGTAGAGAAAAGTTCTCCGTCATCTTTTCAGCGTGAACTCGCTGCCAGGTTGGCTTCTGTTGCCGCTTCTCCTTCACTGATAAGAGAGACCACTACTAGCTACTGTAAAGACACAGTAGAAAGTATTCACCGCGGAGGGAGGTGTAGAGCCCAGCCGGCCTGCACTGCGGGGTCTGAGGTTTTGGGGCAGTCAGTTCAGTGTAGTGAGAGGGAAGTGCTGCAAGAGTCAGAGAGATCCCAAGTCATCTCTCCACCGCTTGCTCGTGCAATCAGAGACTATGTCAATTCTCTGCTACTCCAGGGTGGGGTCGGCAGTTTGCCTGGGGCTTCTAATGCTGCACCCATCCTGGATATAGAAAACATATGTAAGAGACTCAGCCAGTCCGGCCGTGAAGAATCTGAATCCCTGGCTCCTCCCTACAAAGTCCCTAGACTCGGTGAGATGCCTGTAAAAGAAGGGAATTCAGGGTCACGTGTGGCATCTCAGAACATACCTGAATCTGAACATATGTCTGCTTTTGCCAAAAGTGTTGTCTCTCATTCCCTTACTACTTTAGGAATAGAAACGTCTAGACAACCACACCCTGATAAAGTAGATGGCTCAGAACCATCCTTTCCTTTGCACGAGTCTATTTTGAGAGTAATCGAAGAGGAGTGGCAGCAGATTGAAAGGCAGCTGCCGTCATTGGCGTGCAAATATCCAGTTTCCCCCAGCGAGGCAACACAGATACTGTCCGTTCCAGCAGTAGATGATGAAATCATGGGGCTCGTTTCAGAAACCACCCCAGGAGCAGCAAGTCAAGCGTCCTCCGTTGAGTCTTGTGATAAACATGTGGACTTGGCTCTCTGCAGATCCTATGAGGCTGCAGCATCCACAGTGCAGATTGCAGCCCACACTGCCTTTGTAGCTAAGTCTCTGCAAGCCGACCTGAGCCAGGCGGCGCAGCTTATTAGTTCAGACCCTAGTCATCCACACCGAGCACTTGAGATTCTGAGCAGAGCCTACGATGCAGCTTCATATGTCTGTGATGCTGCATTTGATGGAGTGAGGGCATCTGCCCATGCCATGGGGTCTTCTACTGTGGGCCGGCGGCATCTGTGGTTGAAGGACTGTAAGATTAACCCAGCTTCTAAGAATAAGCTGACTGCTGCCCCCTTTAAAGGTGGGACATTATTCGGAGAGGAAGTACACAAAGTTATTAAAAAGCGTGGAAAGAAACAGTAATAAAGAACAGAGACAGAAGCTTATCTTTGATTTGTAGAATTTATGAACTTCTAGGAATTATAGCAACTTCTATGCCAGAATTTTCTTTTGAGGCCTTTTTAGTCTCAATTTCAGGTGTTAAGCTTCCACTCATCAAAGCATAGTCTGATCCCACATACAGAAGCCTAGTAGAGTTTAAGTTTACAGCTTCCTGTTTTATCTTAACACTTTCACACAAGTCTTACATTGTTTTCTTTCTGGTTAAATAGTTTAGAACTCTAGATTTAAAAAAGAGTTCCAGCATCTAAAATATCAGTAGTATCCTCACTTTGTTTTGTTTTTGACAGGCTCTTTGTAGCCCTGGATGTCCTGGAACTCACAGAGACCCCTGCCTCTGCCTCCACCCGGCAGCCTCACTTTTTCCCCTTCTTTTTAGCAGTATCATTCACATACCCTTAAGCCTAGATCAGACTTAAACATTGTTAATCATTTGAAACATTGTTCTTTTTTTTCTTCTCAAAGGAATTTATTTTGCAAAGTCTAGCGTGCAGGAACGCGGAGCTCACAGCCCAGTGATTGCAGTTTGCTGGCGGCCTCTGTGGCTTAACCTTTTCCTCACTCTTGGCTAACTATCTACATGTTCTAAAATTTGTCTGCATTTTTATTCATGCTTTTGTCTACAACAGACTTCATAATAATTCTAGATCATTGTAACTCTTTGAGTGCCAGTACACAGACTTGCTGATTCAGATACTGCAAGAAAGGAAGGGAGAGGGCAGCGTCTTGGTGGTCCAGAGGCATATGCTAAGTGCATATGGCCCTGAGTTCGGTCCACCACCCAAAAACATCTGATAAAAGAGTTTAAATCTAGAGATACTTCATAGGAGAACGATAAGAGATATGTGTACACACATGCTCACAGGCGTGCTTATTTTTTTAGTAAACTAATTTTAAAAAGCAGTATCCAGTTGTGCATTCAGATAGAGGAGGTAGCTGGCTTCACGGGTCACACGAGCACACAGACCACACTTTGAGGGAAGCACTGTGGGTGGTGAGAAGTTAGATACTCTGTTCACTTAGCATGACTTGTTAGATGAGTAAGACACTAGAAAGACAGGGCTCTTTTACTTACATGTACTTAAAAGGGGTGTGCTGTATGTCCTGGGTAGTTAAATTTCAGGTCTGAATGCTAAAATTAGCAAATTTAAATTATTTTCTAAAAACCTTAAGAAGTTTTACTATACTCCAATGTCTATGTCTGTATGAAGCAATGTATTACCCTGTTTTCATTTGTATGGTTGTAAGGGAGCTTGACTAGAGAGACATGGAGAACAGTTTGAACGTGCACATGTCTGCTCCTATCGTGTTCTTAGACTCCACATTCCATCTCTCCAGCTGTGTTACTTGTCTTCTAAAATGTACATGTATACATGTACCTATTAAATACTGTGTGATTCTTTAAAGCCATGTATTCCTGTAGAATGCTTCTACAAATTCAATAAAGTTGTTAAATTTGAACAGTTTGTGTGGTCTCCAGAACATGTTTTATGTGTGCTTTCTTTTTGGAGTTTCAACAAGTTGAGTATTTGGATGAACATACCCTTTCCATTTTATCATTGAAACATTCCAGGAGTGTAATTGAAAATATTCCTGTCGTATATACTTTCATATTTAAGGACCATATATTTAATTGGCTGTTAGAATCTAAATTTAAACAAGGACTTAATTTGTAACCAGATAACTTATTTGTCTAGTCAGTTTCTGTTTCACTAGTAGGTGTTTTTGCTCTGTGCTGTCTCAAGTTTCTGAGATTTTGAAACAAGAGTAGATTTATTATACCAAGGAGTGTACCAAGTGGATACACTGAAGATCTAGTAATAGTGTTGGGGATAGACTTGATTGCTTGGTCTTGTTTGATTGTTATCAATCACTTTTTGGGGGAGAGGGGCATGGCAGGCATGTTTGGAAAGATTAGACTGGAAGGCCAACAAGACACAATATTATCCTGATCACTTTGAAGCGTGACTACAGAAAGCAAACTCTTGGAATACAAGTTGTAGCAATAATTGCTTTATGGTGACAAAAGTAAAAAAGTTAAAGGTTTTGCTTTGTTTTGAAGCGCAGACCAGTCACTCTAGACCCTCCTGTCTCTGCAGCAGTCCCAGGTGCTAAAATTATAGATGGGTACCACCATGGCTGCTGGGAAGTTAAATTTTTCAATGTATTTTAAAGATTTCATATAAGTCTTCAAATTACAGTAAAGTCAAGACTGAAAGAATTGGAACATCAGCTCTTTTTAAAACTGTTATTGTGTTACTGACTTTAAGAGACTCATCGTCTTAGTTGCTTATTTTGTTGCTGGGGGTTGAACCCAGCACCCCAAGTACGTGGCTCTACTGCTGAGCTACACCCCCTAATTAAGGCAGCTAATATTATCAAATGATCGGTGCCACACAATACTGTTTTCACAATTCTCCCCTTCTACATGCTAAATTTTAATAGCTAACCTTTGCTGTGTAGCAGTGATGTGTTGCATAGACAGAAAAATGCATCCACATTGGCTTTGGTTTCTAGGGAAGAGCCTGCACAGGGGCAGTTTGAATTCTCTTTAAGGTTGTTCTAGGGGTGGGGAAAAATGGATAAGAGTAACTAGGAAGGAGTAACCAGATTAAACAGTGGGAAGCCAGAAAATGGACTGAGATTATAAAAGTAGAGGTTTGGGCCGTTTTGTTTTTTTTTTTTTTTTGTAAGAGGGTCTGTTTGATAAATTTTACTAAGCAGTTTTGCTCCATTGGGGTTTTACAATAAGCAGATAATCCTATGTGCTGATGTGCCTACAGCCAGGGTTCCCGAGTAACATGAGTAAAGCATACCTTGAGTATTTGGGTAAATAACGACTTCTCCGATGTTATTTCCAGACTCTAAGATAGAGCTCAAGCTTGAGAAGAGAGAGCCACTGAAGGGCAGAGCCAAGACTCCAGGGACCCTCAAGCAAAGAGGAGCCGAGCACAACCAGGTATCGGTAGCCTAGCCTGTGGTGGTGTCTGTCCTGTGCCCAGCAGCCACACTGCCCGCTTTGTCATTTTGGTGCAGTGGCTTTGAACCTGGGATCTCAGGTGTGCTAGAGGCCAGTGCTTCACCGTCATGCTTCCTTTTGAGAGGGATGGTTTCAGAAGACAGAAGTGTACTTTTGATTCGACTTCTTTGGAATTTAGATGAATAGTTTTATGCATCTGATGTCTTTGTGTCTAGACTTCTGAATATGAATTGACTTTGTTTCGTCATTTGTTGCTTTCCCTACACTTGGAAGCCAGTATGACTCTAAAGCTACATTATTTAAGATAAAGATTTACAATGGGGGGGAACGACAAGATACAGTTTTCAAAAGGAAAATTATAAGAAACTGAGGAGAAAAGTATAAGGCATTCATAAATACATTGCTTTACAGAGAAACTTTACAGGCTCTAATTTCAGCCAGGTTCCAAGGATTCTCTTCATCCTGACTCCCCAGCTAGACAACGTCTTACTTTGTTTCTCGTCTGTCTTTTCCCGGTCCTGTCTGCCTCATTTCTGTGGTGGTTTTGACTTAGTGTTTCATTGTGTAGCCCTGGCTGGCCTTGAACTTGTCAAGCTTTCTGCTTCCTGAGAGATGGCATGGATCACAGATGTGCACTGTCCTGCCCTGCTTCCTCCAGCCTGTGCCTCCCAGATGCAGGGTGGCAGGATTGTGTCACCCACTGTTCCTGAACAGACGTGGTTTACTGGGTAATCAAGGCGAGGATTCTGTATTGATCACCATTGCAGCTCTCTTCTCCTCCCTGTTTGACAGCCACAGCTGATCATGACAGTATTTCCTGTATTGGGGCACGGGAGGCAGTTTCAAATGTTTCAGTCCTTTTCCTGATCTGTATAATCTGCCATCCTGGAGGCTAGACCTGTGTGTGACAGTGTGGTAGACTTTTTTTAGTCACAATGGAAATGTTGGATGTCAAGGATAGAGTAGTCTTTTTAACTATTACAGTTGGGCTGAGGCTACTCCATTACTCTATCTGTTTAAACACAAGTATGTAGCTGGTGACTACTCATTGAACAGTGTGGACCTTAGGAGTTGGCCTGGGTTTGGATTCAGCTTCTTTGACAGTGTTTCATGAATGACGTGGCCCTCCTAGTGACCGTTTCCTTTAAATACACTAAAGTTAGTTAGAAAGTTTGGATGCCGAAAGGCTGGCTCTTGTGAAGTAAAGCCTTGTCTGGCCTACTTATTAATGGTTAGCAGCTGGGGATGACAGTGCCTCAGGTCATGATGGCTTTATTCGGAATTACAGAATGATGGCTCTACTCTTTGCCTCACTATTTGATCTATAGCTTGTATAAAAAGACTTTCCTTGCCGAGTTCCTTAGTTACCTTGAAGTCAGATATTACAAGAGAACCAGAAAAATAATGCCTCTTATTTGCTAGGTTTCAAATTAAAGCACTCCATCATTTTTAAAGGTGATAAATGTTTTTGAGACAGTCTCTCGGTGTAGCCCAGGCTGTCCTGGAGCTCAATGTGTAGACCAGACTGGCCTAGAACTAACAGAAATGAGAGTTCTAGAATTAAAGGTGTGCCCAACCACACTGGATAATAAATGTTTTATGCTATTATTTTTATGTTCATAATCAGTTGTAATATATAATGATTACTCCTTCATACCAGATCCTTCTGTGTGCAGTACAAGCACTTCATTACTGGGCACCATTCCCAGGCCACTAGATGGGGTCTGGAGGCTCATCCCTCGTTTTCCTTCTTTCTCCCGTCCTTACAGAGAACTTGTGAACACATGATGACATTTCAAGTTTACAAATATAGGTTATAAACTTGGTTCTGACACGTGTCTCATGCTGAGTATCTTGGTTTTTCTAATTATTCTTTTCTTAATTTAAATATCATGTTTTGCATGTTTCTAGTAGGGGTACTAAGTGCAATCCATTGCATTTTCATTAAGATATATCACTAGGATATAAAGTAAGATATTACTTGTTCAATCTTGTGAATGAGTACTTTTTATAGTTTAATACACTGCTAGAGATTCCCGATGCTCTATATAATTGATTGTTTTTCCCCCTAAGTTTAGAGTCTGTTCTCTTTTTGGAAGTACTCTACATAAGATTGTTTATTTTTGCTCCTTTCCCTTTACATCAGTCGTAACCTTCCTCCATCTATTCTGGAGTTCACTCCAAATCAAAATAGATTTTTCCTTTCCGTTCCTCATGCCGCTGGATCCTGCATGTTGAGATTTGTGGGTGTGCCGTGATTTATTCAGCTGCTTCCTTGGGTGGATGTGTGAGTTGTTTTCACTTAGGCGGTGGTTATGCCACGACAAACAGCCATTTGCAGGTAGCATTTCGTCTTTGTCCGTTTGTCTTGGGAAAATGCATGAGTGAAAGGGTTGAATAGTTTTTCTAGGCGTCACCCTACAAATGCCTTGTACCCCAGCAACACTGAGAGCACTGTGCTCTGTTGGGGTGACACGAGTTAGTGGGAATGGTCACTACTGCCTCAACATCCTGTGGTTCACAAGTGTATACCACCATGCCAAACACTTTTTTTTTCTTATAGAGGGCTGGTGTTCAGACCTTAGATTTTGTTTGGGGTTTATAGCCTTTAATAGCCCATCTCCTGTATTTTCATGTGCCTCAGCTACTTGATGCCCTCTGGCTTACTCGTCACTTGGTAGCTTAATCAGAATTCAGTGAGAGGTTTGTTTCTTCCATTTGTCCCCGTGATGAGTCAGAACTTCTAGGGAACATTTTGCTGATAGTCGGGACTGTGGTTCCTACTGGGACTCAAAGTGTAGAGCACTCACACTGTGTATATGCTAGTAAGATAATCCTGTAATTGTTGGGTGCCTCTTTCTAAGTTCTGCCGTTGAATGAACATTGCTGTGAGCGGCAGTGTGTGCGTATAGCCACAGCACTAGGCCAGCATAGGGGCATGACGAGCTGGGGGCCAGGGCTGAAGTGACAGCTGTGTCACCAGGATTGAAACTACAGGCTGATAGTTTGTCCTCTGTTGACATAGTTGGGAATTTGACTGTTAATAGGAATTCATTGTTTTAATATGTTAAGTGTTTTATTTGTATGATTTGTCTTTTACATTCAACGGGGATTTGTTCCTAGCAGGCTAAGGAACCCTGAGGTTCAGATTGTGAGTCAGAAATCCTATGCTGGAGAGGTGGCTCGATGTTAAGAGCTCTTGCAGAGGACCTGAGTTGGGTTCTCAGGCTCATGGGTGCCTCACAGCTGCTTGGAATTCCCATCCCAAGGATCTAGCACCCTCTGTGGCCTGTGATATGTATATGCACATACCACACACACAACACACATAGGTCTTATGGGGTTTTGTTTGTTTGTCTAACATAGAGCTGTCGTTGATGTTCATACAGTATTGTCTTAAACAGAAGCTGCGGCAGCCCAAGCACGCTGTACCGCTGCAAAGCACTGGCTGAATGGGTTTGGGCTAGCGTGTAAGAACTGCTAAGC